TTTTAATTTTATTTGTCCATAAGTTATTGGAGAACAGGTAGTATGTGGTTACATAAGTTCTTTAGTGGTGATTTGTGAGATTTTGATGCACCCATCACCCGAGCAGTATACACTGCACCCTATTTGTAGTCTTCTATCCCTCTCCCGCCTCCCGCTCTTCCCCGCAAGTGCCCAAAGTCCATTGTATCATTCTTATGCTTTTGCATCCTCATAGCTTAGCTCCCACATATCAGTGAGAACATACAATGTTTGGTTTTCCTTTCCTGAGTTACTTTTATCCTATGTAATCTGTAGTTCTGGTGACTCACAGTCTCCCCACTACCTTAGGGTATGCAGTAGAAATAAACAGTAGGGAGGGAACGGAAGCTGGATGGCACTGATAGTAAAACTATTGGTACTCTCCTACCAGGGAGCCCTGCTGGAGTTGAAGACACAGGGGGAAAGAAGGGCAAGTAAGAAATAGGTGGTCTGGGGACAGTCAACAGTCAACACAAGGGGACTGGGGTAGGAGCTCTGCTCAGAATGCTTTCTATGTGACTACTCGGACTACTCAATACTCATTTAATTTTGCCAGTTACGTTAAAGGCCCATTAATCCCAAACTCACATGTATTCACTTCACAACACTCCAGGTGCCTGCATAGCTTGGCCCTCTAGCCTTCCTTTATTCTTCCATTGATAAGATATGAAAAGATGAAAAAGAAGCTGAGGTACCAATTTCCTGCATGGTGGGTTGGAGGTGGCCAGGAATTGTGGTACTGTGAAGGAAAGGTGCTATGAAACTCAGATCTTGGGCCCTGGCCTCCTTCCTCAGCCAAGCCAACCGTTTAAATAATACTGTGTGGCTTCCTCTGCAAATAGTCACTGAAGTAAATTAATTGATGGAGCATCAGCTTAGTCTGTAGGAGACTTACTGTTATTTCTCTTCTGATGTATATACAGCGCCAAGAAGAGGAATGGCATCATTAGTGATTGAGACAGTCTGTCAAGAAAGAAGAAAACTGCCTGAATTCTGCTGGGAAATTACTAAGACTGGTAAAATGGTTACTGCTATTCAATTTGTAGTTAATCTGAAAATCATAAGTTGCAGTCCCACATGTGAAAATGATGCTTCTCTTTGGCCATAGTAAATAACTTTGGTTTCTAGTGTAGAACTTGCCTTTAGAAAAAGGCACTTCCCTAGTCTCCCTTTGCCCCAACAGCTGAATGAGCTCAGGAACCAAGCCTCATTAGCATAAGGCTACCGCCTCCTAGAAAACCAGTTTGTTTTCTTTTTTACTTATAATCGTAAAGGCCCATATTAAAAAAGAAGAAAAATCTCAACTTAATAATCTAATCCTCTTAAGAAACTAGAAAATGAAAAGCAAACTAAAACTAAAGCAATTAGAAAGAAAATAACAGAGTGGCAATAAATGAAGTAGAGAATATAAAAAGCAGAAAAATCAAAACCAACTTTTGATTCTTGAAAATATCTTGACTAACCAAGAATAAAAGAGAGAAGACTCAAATTACTAAAATCAGGAATGAAAAGAGGTACATTACTATTGACATTGTAGAAATTAAAAAGGACTATAAGAACACTATCAAGTGTATGCCAAGGAATTAGATAACCTAGATGAAATGGAAAAACTTCTAAAAAGACACAAACTGCCTGTGACAGTTAATACTGCGTGTCAATTTGATTGGATTGAGGGATACAAAGTATTAATCCTGGGTGTGGCTGTCGCCAAGAGAGATTAACATTTGAGTCAGTGGGCTGGAGAAGGCAAATCCACACTTAATCTGGTGGGCACAATCTAATCAGCTTCCAGCAAATATAAAGCAGGCAGAAAACGTGAAAAAGGAAAGATGGACCTAGCCTCCGAGCCTGTATCTTTCTCCTGTGCTGGATGCTTCCTGCCCTAGAACCCAGATTGGCTCTCCTTGCTCCTCAGCTTGTAGATAGCCTACTGTGGGACCTTGTGATCGTCTAAGTTAATACCTAATAACTCCTTTATATATACATATCTATGTCTCTCTATATATCGCATACATATATAGAGGCACATACATAAAGGTGCGTGCGCACACACACACACACACACACACACATTCTATTAGTTCTGTCCCTCTGAGAGAACCCTAATAAACTACCAAAACAAACTCAATAAGAAATAGAAAATCTGGACAGACTATTAACAATTAAATACATTTAATTGGTAATCAAAGCTTTCCACAAAGAAATGTTTAGACCCGAATGGTTTTACTGGTAAATTCTAAACCTTCAAAGAATTAAAACAATCTTCACAAACTCAAAAAAACAGCAGAGGGAAAACATTCCATCTCATTCTATGAGGCCCTAATGCGAAAAACAAAGACATCACAAGAAAAGAAAAAAAAGTATTAATTATATCTGTAGTGGGCAGAAATGTGTCCCTTAACTGAATTGAGAATAAGCCACTATAACTATAATTTGAGCAGACATCTCAGAATGTTACAATAAAACATGCAGAGAAGAGAAAAAAGCTGAGGTCTTCCAGAGCTGATAAAAGATATCAGTACACAGATTAAGAGACTCAGTGAATCCCCAAAAAATAAATAGTAATCTATGCCTTAATAGTGCAACTGCACAAAACCAAAGACATATATACAAACACATAATCTTCAAACAAATCAGAGGAAAAGCACATAACCTGTCTAGGGCTTGATTGACAACTGACTGACTCTTCAAACTGTAGAGGCGCTGGAGGTAGGAGACAGGAGGGGAGGGAAGGACAGGGTAGAAGAGGAGAAAGGATGGGAGGGGAGGAAGACAGGGGAGTGGAAGAGAAAGAATATTCCTCAATTCACATTATGAAAGTAGCATAATTTTGGTACCAAAAGCTGACAAATACAGTGTGATGAAGGAAAAATTACAGGCCACTCTCCTATGGACATAGATAAAAAAGAAAACCCTAAACAAAATATTAGCAAACCAAGTTTAGCAATAAAAATAACACATCATGCCGGGCGCGGTGGCTCAAGCCTGTAATCCCAGCACTTTGGGAGGCCGAGGTGGGTGGATCACGAGGTCAAGAGATCAAGACCATCCTGGTCAACATGGTGAAACCCCGTCTCTACCAAAAATACAAAAAATTAGCTGGGCATGGTGGCGCGTGCCTGTAATCCCAGCTACTCAGGAGGCTGAGGCAGGAGAATTGCCTGAACCCGGGAGGCGGAGGTTGCGGTGAGCCGAGATTGCGCCATTGCACTCCAGCCTGGGTAACATGAATGAAACTCCGTCTCAAAAAAAAAAAAAAAAAAAAAACACATCATGACCAAGGTGGGTTTATATCAGGCATGCAAGGTTGTGGTGCATTAATACAACAGAACACTGTAAGCTAAGAAAATAAATGAACTACAGCTACATGAAACACAGATAAAATCTCTAAGGAGAGGAAGCAAGACCCCAAAATTAATGATTCCAATGATAAAGTTCAAAACCAGGCAAAGAGAAATTTAGGCTTACTTAGGTTGCAAACTTTAAAGGAAATTCATATTTCACCTGGCAAAAATACTATATTCAAACTTTAAAGAAATAACAGAAAAATGAGTCTCCAATAATCCTAAACCATTTTCTTTTATATGGCATACACTTTCCTTTAACTTCATTAATTTTAGCTTTTAGCTTCCGGAAGTTCTATGAGTCTGCCCCTATGTAAATTAAGTCCATCTTCCTATACTAAATTAAGTCCTCTGATCGTATTTCTAGTCCAAGTTACATGTGACAAGGCTAACTCCATCTGAGGTCCTTTTTGGAGACAGAGTCTTGCTCTGTCACCTAGGCTGGAGTGCAGTGGTGCGATCTTGGCTCACTGCAACCTCTCCCTTCCGGATTCAAGCAATTCTGCCTCAGCCTCAGCCTCCTGAGTAGCTGGGGTTACTTAAAGGCACATGCCACTATCCCCAGCTAATTTTTGTATTTTTAGTAGAGACGGGGTTTCACCATATTGGGCAGGCTGGTCTTGAACTCCTAACCTCAAGTGATCCGCCCGCCTCGGCCTCCCAAAGTGTTGGGATTGCAGGTGTGAGCCACTGCATCTGGCCCCATGTAAGTCTTTAATATCTAAAGACATCTATGATATCCCAGGGACTTTGAATAGCCACCTCTTCCCCCATATTCCTCCCATTCCCATACATTTCTTCTCTAAACAAAACATCCTGGGTCTTTCATGTAACCTCAAGGGCATTTTCCAAGTCTCTAATTTCCGGAGCAGCTTCATATCTGAACATGTTCCTTTAAGCATGGTACACAGATGGAAACATTCTGGGTATGAACAAATCAAACCGTCACTTCTACTCTACATTCTCTACCTCTACCCCTTGGAAGAGACTGAAGATACTGCAAATATGGACTTAAAGGCATAAGGCCCTGCATTTTAAGTTATTGCTCTGGTCTCAATGTGTCCCCTAAAATTTATGCTGGGAACTTAGTCTCCAATTCAACAGTATTAGGAGGCAGAGCCTAATGGAAAGCGTTTAGGACTCTGCCTTCATGAATGCATTATAATGCCCTTATAAAATGGGCTTGTGGGAGTGGCTCTTTTCTAGTCCTCTGCCATGTGAGAGCACATTCCTCCTCTCTGGAGGACACAGAAATGAGGCACCATCTTGGATCCAGATATAAATCTGCTAGAGCCTTGATCTTGAACTTCCCAGCCTCCAAAACTGAGAATAAATTTCCATACTCTGTAAATTGCATCTCAGATATAGCAGCACAAAAAAGGCAGTCATCATCAACTAAAATGTTATACAGGTTACTAAACCTCTCTGAGCCTATTTCTGTCATCTATACAATGGGTTTTATCTACTCTCTCTAGTATAAGCAAAAACCCAGCTGCAGAGTTTCTGTAAGAGGTAACTAACATTAACAGTGTAAACTAAGACCGTATCTCTCAGTAGCCATGTAATACTGTTTGTTCTTACTCAAGTGTTACTCAATATTGATCACAGTTCAGCTGCACAAAACAGAATCCATTTCGGTTCAGGAGAAAAACATTTAAATTTTATTGACAACAGAAATAATTTTTAGCCCAACGCAGTATGCAAAAATGCTGGTAATGTCCCACTGAGTTGATTTCACGACTTATTAATGAATTGTGACCCACAGATGGACAATTACATTGCAGAGTATTAAATCGCCTGGAGAATCACCAGCAAAGAAGAAACACTAGCCTGTGCTTCCAGAAACTGGGTGGCCAAGCAAGCTGATCGCTCCAGAAGCACTCCATAAGTATGACCCACATCCTCACAACGATGTCTGGTGTCTCATAGAATCTGATGGACAAAACCTAACTGACACCCGAAACCCTGATACAAAGGAAATCAGAAAAATACAATAAAGAAAAGGAAGCACACTAGCAGAAACTGCCAAAAGATGTCAATCAAGCTAGGCCACAGACTCAGTCCCCTATCTGCAACGACATGCTTCTTATATGTATTTACTCAAGCCATGCATGTGAGATGGAAAAATCTGGTAGCCAAAGTATACATTATTTATCTCATCCCTAGAAAAGGCATATTTTCTTCATTATGGCCTATTGCTACTTCCCGGAGGGAAACTCATTATCTAGAACTAGTACAATTTGCCTAATGAGATGAAATTCAGGGGAACAAACCAAAGGTAACAAATTGCCAAGCGACATGTCTTTCACAAACACACCTCTACCCAGTCAATAGAGGACATATCAAAACAGAGATTAATAATGGAGAAATATGCTGAGGATTCTTTTCTCATCCTCATCACAAAGAATCTTAAGATTAAAAAGTTTTTAGACTACTGAAGACAGCGGAAGAAGAAATAACTTTTCTCTCCTATTCATTTTTAGTTCTTTTTGTTCAGCTTCTGCAAGATTTATACCTGTGAAAGAATTTAGGTTTACTGAATAAAAAGTATTGCTTAAGACTTAAAGCAATTAAAGCAAAGTAAGTTGCTCAATGGGTATCATTTGAGTTAAATCACAGTTTTTTTAAATTCTGTAATCGATGTACATTTGATTTTAAAAGAAGACACTGTTTACATCAGGTAACCACAAAGCAGATTTACATACAACCATCAATTGCAGAAAAACAAAGTTTCTTTACAAAAACAAAGTTTCTTTAATCATTAAAAAAAAAAAAAAAAAAGAATGTAGTACTTTTAGAAGGTAAAGCTAATAAGTTTACAGAAGTACAAAACACCAAAACACTTTAAGCAAAAACTCTTTTGTTTTTAAGAAAAAGGTATGACTTCTGGTTTTCTGTTCTTGGCATAAATTTTAATTCTTCCCAGTGGAACCAAAACCTCCTGAACCCCTTTCGGTGTCATCCAAAGCCTGAAAGATAGAAAGGTGGTAAGCGTCACCGTTTTTTTTTTTTACAGCCTCTTTCAGTTTTCCTCTCCAGCTCCTAAGAAAAATGATATAGCCAGAATTCTACTCCTGCTATGTCATCTTTTCAAAAGGGAGATTATAGAAAGAAAAAAATTAAATTCTAAAAAGCTCCATAAATTAGAATATTGGATAACTGTAAAAAATTCTAAGAAAATATCAGAAGTTCAGATATTTAAATAACTTATCCAAATACTACATATCTACATAAAAAACATTTTAAGAAATTCAAAACTAGTATTTGAAATTTGCCTAAGTTTAGTCATATCTATTCTTTAGTTACAAACAGCATAGTAAATCCTCAAGATGACATATATTTCTTCACTTAAGATGTTATATCAGGCCGGGCGCGGTGGCTCAAGCCTGTAATCCCAGCACTGTGGGAGGCCGAGGTGGGTGGATCACGAGGTCAAGAGATCGAGACCATCCTGGTCAACATGGTGAAACCCCGCCTCTACTAAAAATACAAAAAATTAGCTGGGCATGGTGGCGCGTGCCTGTAATCCCAGCGACTCAGGAGGCTGGGGCAGGAGAATTGCCTGAACCCGGGAGGCGGAGGTTGCGGTGAGCCGAGATCGCGCCATTGCACTCCAGCCTGGGTAACAAGAGCGAAACTCCGTCTCAAAAAAAAGATGTTATATCGCTTATTCTCTATAAGCTTTTATAACACTTACTTGAACTTCTTCTATTTCTGGGTAGAAAATCCGTTCACAAATGAGCTGTGCAATTCGATCACCTTTTTTGACTTCAAAGAAAGAACAGTTTATTACTGATGTTATTGACATATCTACATCCTGTTTTATTCAATGAGAATTAAAGGAGTCAATATTATTTACACATACATGACTCCAAAAATTCACTAAAATTATGTGAATGTATGTATTTAACATACCTTCAAACTTTTCTTTGCCAAAGTTAAACAGTACAACACCAACATTTCCTCTATAATCTTCATCTATGACACCAGCTAGAGAAAAGAAAAATAATAGTATCTTGATTTTTCCTTTTGGAATACTAGAGGTGTAAGATTATCTCAAAATCATTGTTAGGTAGCTCTGAGATTTTTATTTTTACAGTTGAATAAGTGAATCTTGCCCTGGTACTATATAAAGCCTTAAAACCAAGAAATAGTATTACTAAAACACAAAAATTTTGAAAACAGGTCCTAATTTTTCAAACTGTCACTCTTTATCAAATGGCGACCATTTCCTATTTTAAGCTGGGAGTGGCAATGACCATCTCCAACCTGCTGTCTAAGCACTGCACACTTGCCAAAAAGACTGGAAGAAAATTACAATTTGGGTTTTAAAGGCTTTTCCTGGTATCAGCGTCCTGCTAATACCCATACTGAAATATGACTGAGTCATAAATAAAAATGTCAAAAAGCCTAAAGCTCTGCAGTGTTTGAATAAATCAACACTGACACTGTTAGGCAGCAGTCTTGCAAATATCAGAACATTCCATTTTTACACTAAAAATGAAGCTGAACTTTTCAGTTCATAATAGTCCTCTCCTTTTAATTTGAACCACTATTCCCTCTTAGAGCATGATTTCTCAAAAGACAGTAGCACAGAGGCTTCATAATGAGTACAACTTTTTATGTGTAATTAATACTTGCTTGAGATTATGACCACAGGGAGAAGTCTACGCAGGGGAGGCCTGAGCCAGGTGCCTGCCATAGTCCAGAGAGTTACACTTACCAAACTTGCTTGCATTTATCTTTAAGCCAAGAATTTAAAATATTTCCATAAACAAAAGCACAGATAATACAGGTGCACCAGGCCTTTTCATTTTTTTAATTGATAAATAATTCACAAAGCATACAATTCATCCATTTAAGTGTACAATTCCACAGTTTATAGTGTATTCAGAGTTGGCCAAATACCTCCACAGTCAATTATAGCACATTTTCATTACCCTCCCTCTGAAAATCCCCTACCTATTAGAAGTCAGTCCCCTTCCTCCCCCTACCCCCAATTTCCTGCTATATATGTTAATTTTTTACCCTCAGTTTGTGAAAGGCTGGATAGGACTCACATGAATGTAACTGAATACAGCTCCACATCACATCTTAACCTCTTAACTAACACTCTATCCTCAACAAAAACCCTTACGAAGGAAAAAATATGAAATAAAAATAATCATGTGTTCAGCTCAATGGGCAGTAATGCTATTTGCCCAAACTCCTAATTATTTGAAAGCTAACTAAAAAAACAAACCGAAACCCCCAAAAACATACCCATCCCCCCCTTTTTTAAGAATACCCTTGGCCGGGCGCGCTGGCTCTCACGCCTGTAATCCCAGCACTTTGGGAGGCTAAGGCGGGTGGATCACGAGGTCAAGAGATCGAGACCATCCTGGTCAACATGGTGAAACCCTGTCTCTACTAAAAATACAACAAATGAGCTGGGCATGGTGGCGCATGCCTGTAATCCCAGTTACTCAGGAGGCTGAGGCAGGAGAAGTGCCTGAACCCAGGAGGTGGAGGTTGCGGTGAGTGCACCATTGCACTCCAGCCTGGGTAACAAGAGTGAAACTCAGTCTCAAAAAAAAAAAAAAAAAAAAAAAAAAAAAACCCCTCTTTTCATTTTTCTCAAATAAGGGCGGGGGGGCGGGGGCGGGAAGCAAACCCTTAGGTCCACCACGGGGAAAAACACTCAGCAAAAACATTTTAGATTTTCCGAATGGATTACAAGGTAAGTTTAAATGAACTCTTGTGCTTTATGAATGAATGACTAGAGACAAGTGAATCTGAATTTTAGCACTTTTTAAAGGTTCCTGATGCAATACTTTTATGAGAACAAGGGTGAGTATAAAACTGGGCAGAAAAGCAACAAAGGCAGTTCATCTACTGTCTGGTCTGAAGGAAACAATCAATTATTGAACTTGACCAATTCGAATACCAAACCCTGCTTTATTCCCCACACTCAGTTGGCCATTAATTTAGACCTTAATATTTATGAAAAAAAATTGATATAAAGATGAGATCAGCTGTTTTCCACATTATTTATTAAAAAATGTTGACTGCAGGGACAATTTAAATTAGATTTACTGAAGAAACCCCTCAACATAGCATGTTGTTCCATGCTAGAAAAAATGGCCACAGTAGGCTAGAGAATTTCCATGCTGGGAGATTTTGAGGTACAGGCTAATAATTCATCTATCTTGAATGAGTTAGAGAAAGACAATATAGACTGACTTCTGAACTTCTCTGTTTCTACTTTATTCAAAAATTTTAAAATAACCAAAATAATACAAATACATATAAAGTAAAAACTTACTCTATTACCCTCCCTGAGGTAGCCAATGTTACAGAAATATATCTTACAAACTACTTTACTTTTTTCTATTTAGAGGATCATAGACACGGAAATACAGTACCATTCTCTTTCCTTTATTTATTTATTTTTTTGAGGCAGGGTCTCACTTTGTTGCCCAGGCTGCGGTATAGTGGTATGATCACAGCGTACTGCAGCTTTACTCTCCAGTGATTCTCCCACCTCAGCCTCCAGATGCAGAGGCACTAACACACCCGGCTAATTTGTTTATTTCTGGTAGAAAGAAGGTATCCCTATGTTGCTCAAAATGAGCCTCAAACTCCTGGGCTCAAGCAATCAGCCCATCTCAGCCTCCCAAAGTGCTGGGATTACAGGCATGAGTCACTACGCCCAACATGTACCATTATTTCTACGTAACTATTCTCTTGTATAATATCAGACACCGGCTGCTTTTACATTTTGCTATAATAAATGAAGCAGCCTTTAAATATATCTTTGTACATTCATGCTTTTTATTTTCATCAAATAGGTTGCAAAAAAAAGGTTCCATCAGCAATATCTGAAAATGCCCATTTCCAAAATCCTTGCCAATATCTGATGGCGGCAATCTCCTACATTCTGGCCAATATGATGAGTAAAAAATGGTTATCTCATTGCCTTACTTCTCATTCTTTGATGACTAGTGAGGCTGGACTTTTTCCCTCCCGTTTGCTGGACATTTGCATGTTCTTGTCTATATTTTCATGTTTTTTTCTCATTTGTTCTTTTTTATAGAAGTTGCAAATATTTGCTTATTGGCTTTATAGTATCTTCTAACATACAAAAACACTCCCTTTTAGTACAGGCCTCTGCTATGTATCTGTAAAGTAGTTGTATCAGAACCAACTGCTTGTCTTGAACTCTACAGATAACGTGATCTAAGATTTTATGCGTGGGACACAAAAATGTGAAAAACCCTTAAATGATTAAAAGAAATTAAGAAGTTTGAAGTCTATTAAAATGTATGGCTGAAAAAAAGGCCCTCAGTAGTTTTTGTTTGTTTGTTTTTTAGCATCAGTGCTGAAGGTACAAAAATTTCAGCAGTTCCCTATTCATTTACTACCCAATTGCCATGTGACCTTCAAGAAAAGCCTTCTCTGCTTACGGGATAAGTATCAGGGATATTTCTCCTCAGAGAAAGGAGAAAGTATCTTGAAGTTATCACTGGAAAAATCATGCATTGGAACTGGCAGAGTGATTAACTGACTTCAGGCAAAAGTTTTACTGTGTCAAGAGTTTGGCATGTCATTTGTTGGAAACCTTTTTTCAGTGAAAAACTATCCACACCTACCAGATGTGAATTTTGAACAGAATCCTGCATGCTCAACTTTTCCCTTTGACCCTTATTTACAGCCTGGGATTTCTAAGAACATTTCTCTTCAGAAACAAAAACTGTTGCCAATTATGATAAACTTGTGCCTAAGGGACATTTTTAAGATTCTCTGCATCCAAGAACACACCACAATGTGATTTTATGAATAACACCATACCAACCACGAGGCAAACTAACTTTCCATTCTTTTACATGAAGTTTTTCCAGGAAGTTGTTTTAAACAGAGCAAAAATTAGTAACAAAGCCGAAAAAAAGAAAAAGTTTCCACATAAAAACAATCTGTGAAGTCACTAAGGATAGAAATTATACCTCACAGAATCTACTATGCGCCAAGCACTATATATTTCATATACATTATCATTTAATCTTCCCACCTCTCAGAGGCAGACACACTAATTTCCTTGGTAAGATGAGGAAACTGAGGCTCAGAAAGGTTAAGAAATACCTAGTTAGTGACAGAGCTGGGACCTAAATCCAGTTGTTATTCCAAAGCTCGCATTCCTTGCACAGTCATTTGAAACTTCATTAAAAATATGTACAATCCTTGATATCCTTCAGTTACTTTCCCAAATAACATAGCTGACCTTGAGAAAGCATTTTTGAACATCAGGCATAACTTACAGAGCCCAAGGACTCCTCAACCCAAGAGTGGCTGTCAATGTCCATCCCTGCTATGTAAAACTCAGCTCCCCTTTAGTCCCTGAGAAAGAACTATGTACTTTTGGAGCCCTGTCTTGTCCCACAGCACCACCTAGTGACACTGGAGAGACACCACACACACACACACAAAATGTTAAGACTAAAGGGTAGGTCTAGGATAGCCAGGCTTCATCAAGTGCTTAGTTAGCCTTGATGTGGCACATAAAAGTGAACTAATTCAGGACAGTGTTTAGTTGGTGAGGGGGATGCAGCAGGGTAATCTCCACGCTTAATTGCAGTGGAAAGAACAAGGGGGAGGGAATCATACCGAGATTCCAGTTTTTACCACATATCCACGTGGACTCATTTCTGAGCCAGTTTCCTGATCTGTTAAAAAGCCTCCATAAAGTAGCTCTGTAAAAATGGGTGGAGGAGGAGATCCAGCACACCTACTTATCTGGGGGCCAAGATATCTTGTTAAATGAAACATTCACTACTGATGGGATAAACGGTCAGTATATAGGGACCATGACTGCGGTCTGAATCCCGGTCACAGGAGATCTGAAGCAAGGAAAGCAGAAATTTCCTTACAATAAGGAGGGTAGCTCTGTAGGTTAGAAATCCTACAGCCGGGACTTCTGCCAACATGGCCGAATAGGAACAGCTCCAGTTCAGTTA